GCTTGTGTACGCGAGGGAAAACGGCGCGTGGGTGGGGATTCTGCACGGCTGCTACGACCAATAAAGGCCCAGTTTAAAGCGTCTTATTTTTTCTTTTTTTTTTTTATACCGGCACTGCGCATGCCACATTCAAATGTTAGGAGTGGTGGGCTTCCGATGTGTGTGCATGGAAATATGATAGGTGAGACTTGGAGGAATGGCGGCCGAAAATAGGGGTGTGCGAATATTTTTATAACCCGGCAGAGTTACGATAGGGTTGGAGATTTTTCGGAGAATAATGGCGACTGAGATAGATCTCAGAACGTATACGTAATATCTTAAGTTTAATTTTAATAAAGTTCGTACAACATTTTTGATATTCGAATTTAAATTTAATTCGAATTGTTGAATTTCGAATGTTGATATGTTCGATATATTCGACTCGATAGAATGCGTGAATATTTTTATAATTCGATAGAATAACGATAAGATTAGAAATAATTTTCGGAGAAATAAATTTCAGAACGTATACGTAATATCTTTAATTAATTTCATAAAAATTCGTAAGGTTTTTAATGTTCGAATTTAAATTTAATTCGAATTGTGTAATTTGATATCGAAAGCTTCATATGTTTGATATGTTCAATACGTTCGATATATTCGACTCAATAGAATACGTGAATATTTTTATAACCCGATATAATTACGATAAGGTTAGAAATATTTCGAAGAAGAAATGATGTCTGAAATAAATTTCAGAACGTATATGTAATGTAATCCTTAATTAATTTCATAAAAATTCGTAAGGTTTCTGATATTCGAATTTAAATTTACTTCGAATTATGTAGCTATATTCATATTATATAGATATCAAAGATTCGATATATTCGGTACGTTCGATATATTTGATTCGATATAATTGTTATACTTTTTCGATACTGTTAATGGCTGATTATAATATTCGTATATTATGCATTATTGATTGTTTGAATACATTTGTTAATGCGAACGTATTCAACACACAATGAATCTATTGTTCGAGAGATCGTTGAACCGACCGGTTTTAACCTGTACAAGTACTTACCGGTTTGCTGTTAACCTGAGACTCATCAGCATAAAGTATTAGCCGGATATTTCGTTCTTCAGTGTACTCCAAAAATGTATTACTCAATTCGAATCATAAAATCACAGATTTCAACTAAAAGTTCGAAAAAGTATCATATACGTTTCACGTGACGCGAATTATTTCTCACTAAACGAATATTCTAATATTCAAATTGTAGCAAAGTAGTGTATAACCTAGTACATGAAACAAGTTTAATATACTTGCAATTTACTATTCTACTTTTCTTTATTTCGACCAACGACAAGTACATTACTTTTGCACTTTATGAAGAACACTTTAAACAGATATTTTGCGAAAAATTACTATTAAAACTTAAAACGAACCGATTTTATAATTTACGAAATATATCACGAACACGCACGTTTGCCAAAAAACGCCACCTGTGCCATCTACTTGAGTTAATAGAGTCGCGCGCATATTATACAGAGCGCCCTCATAATTACTTAGTCGTTACTTGACGTTTACGAAAACGGTTGTGCTAAAGACATGTCACTTGTTTTTCGGATTAATTTGAAAGTGTTAATCGTTGTCGTTGATATATCGACAGGGCAGCAACGTGTGCCGCGATTGGTTGCTTTTCTCGCATATGCAAATGGACTTACCTTCTCTCTCTTTAATCGTGGTTTCGTTGCAGCAGTAAGTAGTAGCCGGTACACGCGAGGTAAAAAGGCGCGTTCGCGCTCGCGACCAGAGAACTCGCCTTTCCTTGCCGGGCGGAGCCGCGCGTGATCCGCGTTTCTTTGCGATTGGAGCACCATTCCCCACCGACGCTGCTTGTTTCCCCACCAGCATAAGCGTCCAGGCGTCCGTCCGCTGCTTTTCGTTCCAATCTAACCTCTTCGTCGTACACTCAGCCTTTCGAACCGAGGTTAGTGTTGCTTCATCTCTTTCCTTCTTTGTGCAACTCCCCCACTTTGCGTTCCACGGTCCGTGTACGCGTCCGCGTTCCCCGTGGCCGGTAGGCGGCCGACCGGGCGTACGTGGGCCCTCTAGTGTAGCTGCACACATGCACGCGACAGCATCTGACCGCCGTACCAGCCGCCGCAGCCGTAGCTGCCACCGTCGTAGCTCGTCGCGGATGCTCGTGTGCCTGCGATAACGATACTTTGCTCTTTCTACGATCCCGCACCGCGGACAGCTCAATTCTCGCGAGAGGAAAGCTGACGCGCGGTGTGTGTGAACCTATGACGAAACGGTACCGCACGTGTGGAACGCGGAACCACGGGAGTAATTGCCAGCGTCGAAACAGTGAGACAGTGAATATTCGTGACAGTTTCTAATGGCATTGGAAGGATTCTGAAATAGATTTACGATCCAACTCGTAATTTACGATGCTCGTGTTCGTTTCGGTGATTAGCATCGGAATCGTTCGTGAATTCGCCGATGGGTGACGCTGGGTATCTGATGCGTCACTGACAGATCGGAAAGACAATAGGATTTTTGAATATTCGCGGGCTATAAAAGACACGATTCTCGCGGTAAAAACGCGGGAAACTTCGGTAATAACCGTTGACAGTTGGCGTTGGTGTCGATTCAAAATTTACGTGAGATCTGGTGTTTGGCATTCGGATGACAAGTGAATTGAACGAGAAACGTGGCCAGGAACGATATACGAAGGAAATAACGACGACACACACTTGTCACGCTGTTCCGTTTAATAACTATATACATTAAGAAGTGTTCGTATAATGAACGTGAAGGATAAACGTATATAACCAAGTAGTGACTACCGTGCGAGACTGGAATACGTTCGGAGCGTGTCGAAGGAATATATCTGTGCTCATTTATCAGTGTAGTGTTTCTATAGGAATATACTGTGATATCAAAGGATAATAGACGTCTGAAGGATCTTTTATATTTGTAATTCGCTTCTGTTTCGTTAACCTCAATTCCAAAATAACCTCAAAAATCTGTATACTGCACTCGTCTTCGTGGAGCTTTCATTCTCAAAAGTGCAACACCGACCATTGACCATTGCTCGACGCTTTTAACAAACGATAAAAACGACAAAAGGATATCAAATTCGTACACGGAGGGCGAAGAACAGTTTAGCTTGTCCAACAAAGGGAGCCAGCAGGTGACCACGTTGGATTTCGCGGCGTTGGCTGCTTACGGGGGCGTTTCGGGACCCAGGGTCGCGGTGGCGGGTACCGGGGTCCTCGCGCTACCCGGCCTGATACCCGATAAGGGTTTATCATCGCCCGGAGGACAGTCGAAAACAAAGTCCGCAGGGCTGGCGGGCCTCGACAGCGAGGCGGTGCGCCGGTGGGTCGCCGAGGCCGCGCGAACCGTCCGGCAAATTCCGCCTCCGGTTGTGATACCATCCAGTTCGCAGCAACAGCAGCAACACCAGCAACAATCTATTCAACAGCAGCCACAGCACAGGCAACAACATCATCATTCCATCCATCGACAGCGTCAAGAGTCTAGCCCACCTTTGGTGGGCGCCTCCCCTTTCGTTCTGCCGTCGTCGATGACGCAGACCCCCAGCATGCATCTGCTGGAGAACAACAACCTGGTGGAGGTTGCGATGGTTCAACAGCAGCAACAATCGCAACAGCAGATGCAGATGCAGCAACAGAAGCAAAAGCAGACCAGCCCGACGAACAACAACACGATCGAGGCTTGGAGGTCTATACAGGGTGGCCACCAATGGTGGAGTCCACCGAGCACCGTTCATCAAGAGCAGCAGCAGCAGCAGCAGCAGCAACAACAGCAGCAGCAGCAACAGCAACAACAACAACAACAACAACAAGTATCGCCTATAGGACAGCAAGTTGTTCAGTCCCAGAGTTTGGTCGTTGGCTCGGTTTGTGGACAAGTACAGAGACAGTCGCAGATACAATCGGAGATCGATCAACCTTTGGACTTTTCGGTCGGTTCCCTTCAACAACAGAGGCTACATTCTCGCGTAAGGACTATGTACGAGAGACTGCAGGATAGGATACACGACAATAATAATGGAACAACCGGTAGCGGGCAGAAGATCGGCAGAGGGACGGGAAGCAGAAGAAGTTACAGTCCCAGTGAGGGTAGCAGCAGCAGCAGCGAAGATGAAGGAGTCTCCACCGGCGGTAGCCCTTCCGGTCCACTTCGAGGCACCGAAAATGGTGAGTCAGACATGCAAATTCTCTTTTTAAATTATCAAGCCGTATTATTCGTTTCAAAATGCAAAAAAAATATCCGTATCGCATCGCGTATAAGAATGACGTAATGAATTATAATATCGGTGATAAACGGAATTGATAATTCCAATTTTGCATTCGTTTTCGTAACGAGTTACGCATCTGAATCTTGGAATTCCGCTTCTCGAAATACTCTATTTCGATTTGATAGCGTTCTTAGAATCCAATCAATTATGAATCTTAAATTAATCAAAGTTATCATATAGATTAAGTGCAGCGTTTCATTTCATATTTTATATAGAGTAATATAGAAAAAACGCGGAAAGGAAAGGAAATTTTATAATTCCTGATTTCTTCTTGAACTCCTCCTCCTTCTTCTTCTTTCGTGAATAAATGTTTAAAGGTTTAAAACAAAAGATACGAGAGAATTGTTATTAATAACGCATGATATCTCGTTTCCAATTGTACATTCTACAAACTTTCGTTTCCTGAATCGATGAAACGCGATTAAAACAAAAATATTCGAAATATCATTACGATTAAAAATTTAAATTCACCGTGCAATCAAAATAGTCGAGTGGAATGATATTATTAAGCTATTTCTCCCCCCTTCTCTGTTCCAACGATTTCCCAAAGAGTTGGTTCAGTAACGAAACCGGAGATTTCCGAGACAAACGAACGTGTGCGTCATGCCAGCCGCTATTTGTCCGCGAACGAAACATGAAACGATCCCATGCATTTTGGGGGAAAACCGTTCGATCCGTCAGCTGTCAATGGAGAGCCTCCCTCCGCTCGCATCCGACACTGCCACCCCCGCGCAACCTTGGCACGGGCCTTTGTTGCCTCCAACCCCCAAATGGTCGACGGCATTGTTGATTCCATTGTAGGAACGAGCGTCGAGAATCGGGCATTTACCTGAAATACGGGCTTTCGTTGCGTCTCGTTGGGTTTTTTTTTTTTTTTTTTTTCCGTACGCAAAACGGCAAAAGGCAGGTTTCGCCAATTGCGGCGGCACGGTTTTACGATGGGAAGGTGAATTCCCTTTTAGATGATATTCCTTTCGTTCTACTCGCTCGTCGTTTCGTTGCTGCTTGCGTGCGCCTCCACCAACGATTCCCCTTCGCGATAAGGGGAATTCTTGACGGATAAATTCGTATAACGTTTCGTTCGAAGGAACGTGTGCGTGCACACACGTTAATTAAAATTCGAGGGATAATTGTGAGGACTTTGCAGTAAGAAGGGAGGAGTTCTGTTTCTTTTTTTTTTTTTTTTTTTCAGTTATTACGTGTAAAGTATCTAGAAAAAAATTCTACATTGTAAGTTGTAGATGCAGGTGTCGATGGTAACAAATGATTCATTGTAGGTTTTAGATCGTTTTGAGATAATTCCGCTGTGAGAATGCAGATTCGTTTCCGTTTTTTCTTTTCCGTTCGACGCAGGATATATTTTTGATCAATAAAAGAAAAATTAAGGAATAAATATTCTTTCAAGGATAAATTTCCTTGTTTAAGTCGCTTAAGGAAAAGTTATCATTTTTATTGGTGCAGGTTACGCATAATTGAAATAACGCTATTTAATAATTAGTTTGTAGAAATATATTTTTTTTCATTAGTTTTTTTTTTTCCGATCCGAAGAGAAATCTCTTGCTTTATTTTACTTTAATATTTCGTTATATAAGTATAAAAGTAAATTTTTCGAAAAAAAAAAAAATACTTGGCATTCTTATCAATAAGCAGAACGATAATCATCGTTATTTAGTGGAAAGGAAATAGTGATCATTCATTTATTGAGCGCCACTCTTTTATAATCGTGTTTATCTTAAAAATCTATCGTATGAGCTGATTAAAATTGTGTCAATAATTTTGCGTCTTATTAATCGTATGATTCACAACATTACTAAGATAATAATTTCTCGTATCAAACTCGTATAATGATTTTAGATTTTTGAAATTGAAAAAAATTATAGCACACGTTAAACGCATTATATTAATTCTTTTAATTCGTCTCATTGAAACGTGTTTGAAGTATCAGGCACGTGGAGAGTCACACAATCGATAGATAAACCTAGAAAAACTTCTTACCTCAATTTCGATGCATTCCCTGATAAAGCGTAGATCGATGATTACAAGTAAAAGAAAGAGACGGAGAAAGATCAAGAAAAATGCTCGTGTATCTTNTTATTGTACTTATAACTCGGTTTTACATCGAGTTATCATTTCGTGTTTATTATCGCGGCATAATGTGTCGTGAGCCCCGCGATACCGTGAAAACAAGAATGATCGTAATTAAAACATGATACATGTCGAGGCGAGCATTATCTGATTCTAAACAGCCGGATCTTTATTAGTTTCAATAAAATGCAATGTAAACAGCGTTATGAATTAACCTGATAAGAACGTTGCGCGTTCGTAACAACGTTGAGAAACGAGAGGAAAAACGAAAAAAAAAAAAAAAAAGGAAGGAAAAATAAAAATATAATATAATCGTCATCTTCGTTACCAGCCAGGTTACGAGAAATTGAACAACTATTATGCATTTATTTCTATAGAAGAAACGATACAATCGTTCAATAACGTTTCGATCCGGCGTCGTTAAGCAGTTAATAAAATGACTTTGGGAAAAAAGGAATAAAAATAGAAAGAAAGAGAAAAAAAAGGAAAGAAGAGAAGAGTTATCTTTGATTTCGATATTATCTATAACGCGAGTTATATTAATGTTTAATCCACGGACAATTATCGTGGCTCGATGCGTTTTTTTCTTTTTTTATTCCTCGAACACTTTGATATTCGTCGTACAGCGAATATGTATATGTACGTTTCTACATAATTGCACTAATATTCAAAAATGCAACGGCAAACAAACGCCGTTGCCTGTGAGAAAAAGTCGGCCGATATCGTATCTGTCGATAAGGTCTTAGCACTAAGGCTTGTTTGAATAAATATTCCACGTAAGCGCGCGCGTGATCGCGCGGTTATTTTCGATGAGCAACGCGATACGACGAAAAATCCATTTTTGAAGTGAAAACGTAAAGTGCTCCAGATAATGCCCGCCTTATATAACGTTTAACACCCGAGTATTTTATTTCTGGCCAACGATTGACCATTCCTCAGCTTCTTATTAACCAATCATCGTTCTTATCTCTTCTTGAAAATGACAGCTTCGTGTTCCTCCTCTTTCCCCCCTTCTTCTTTCTTTTTTCTCTTCTTTCTTTGGTCGATCGATCTTCGATTTTCGACGCGAACGAAAGGTGTCGGTTTCAGCGCGTTCACGAAAAGCGTAATTACTCGATGCCTCTCCTTCTTTTCGTCGTGCTAATTTATGTTCGAGAATATAATTAATCCTGGCAAGGAACACGCGCAGGATTAACCGTATATATATATATATATAGAAGATATAACCGTTCGAGGTTCGCAAGGAAAGGTCCACGGACCTGTTCCTCTCCCATCGTGTATTACGGCGTAACGTGATACGTGTTTGATTCTATGTTATTTACGAGCAGGTGTGCCGCGCAACAATGTTTATCACATAATTAGATTCTATGCTGTCGGCCAATCCCTATCGCGCCGCGGTGATCCGCCAAGGATGATCCTGAAAATGACGTTTCACGGTGGATGGCCCTAACCCCCTTGATAACAATAATTTTCCTCGATACGCTCTCCATATTGATTTCATCCCCGTCTATGCCGTGTGTACGTGCCTGTATCCCGCTTTTCTTCTTACCTAGACTCTTCTCCACGTTTTTTTTTCTCCCTCGTTCGTTCCATCTACCTTGTTTCCCCCTCTTTCGGATATTTCGAGTCGTTGCTCCTCCTCGTTCCAGCGACATATTCCGACACCCGACGACGACGACGACGACGATGTCTCCTCCTTTAACAAGCCATCCGTTGAATCCTTTCGTTTTTCTCGTTCTGTCCAACGATCATCAGGAGCTGGAACCCCCTCTCTTTCTCTCTTCTACCTCTGGTTTGGTACGCGTTGTAAAACCGAAAACGAGATAATGATCGTCGATCGATGGGCAATCTTGCGATTTCTGCCAATTATATTCTTCGATCCGGTCACATAAATTAATTAACCATAATATTCGATGGCAAATCAAAGGAAAGAAGTTATTATACGCCCTTTAACGGTTTGATTATCGTTGATGAATCCAGTAGTGGAAACTCTGTTCGTCGATGATTCTTATTACTTCCTTCTCCCTTTTTTTTCTCTCCTTCTTCTTCCGGTTCGCCGGAACGTGTCTCGTTCGAATTTAATTCCCTTTTCGAGAAATGTTGTTCTTAATGTGGTAATTATTAGAAAGGGAAGGGGGTATAAGTTCGTTGTGTTCGTTAGCCACGAATCTCTCGGCAAGAAAACGAGAAACGTTCGAGGTCTCTCGAGTACCGTCGGATCACTCGCGTGCGGAAAATTGGACGGTCCCCCTTTTTCGACTCGTGAGAGTACTCACAGTTCTTCGTTCCTTTTTTCTCTCTCTTTCTTCGTGATCTTCATTGATCTTCGTTGAGTTTCGTGTACGACACGACGACAATTCCTCGAAGTCGTTTCTCTCCGGCCAACTTCTCTTCGCCCGCCGAAACACGTTCCCCTCTTCCTTTGTTATTTTAACATTTTCATTGCCGCGTGTCACGAACAACCATATCGTTTTTCCATAACGCATTGTCCTTACGATTGTTCCACTCGATCATCGAAATTCTCGCATCATCGCAACTCGCATCGATTTCAAAATGAAAAATTGTTATACAAGATTATCAGAAAATCGATTCGTTTGGTTTCTAAGAATTTAATATATAAATTTTTCAGCAGTTACGATAAAGATAATGGGTAGAATTAAGTGGAATTAAACCGCAATCTTCATAAAAAAAGGTATCGATGCCCAGACAGAAACGACAGAGCGTTAGATCCATTAATTTGTTCGTTACGTAATCTCGAACACAGAAGACAAAGATCAACCATGATTGCTCCAACATGAAATAATCCAAAGATCG